GGGGGGGGGGGGGAGGAGAGGAGGAGGATCAAGGAGTACGTGAAATCCCGTTTTCGCGCGATATAAAAAGTATTAAAGGGGCGTCCCCGTTACCCTCTCCTAATCTCACCCTCAAAGCGGTTTGGGCTTTTACAAGTGTATTTTACCAATCGAGTAATCCTGTGTCATTCCTGGCAGGTACAGTCCACTCGTTCGAACTTCCAATAACATCTCGCATCATTACACTGATCCAGCCGTCACACGGAACCCGACAGATGCTTTTTCGTCTCGTCTCTACCCGGCCAATCCTCTCGCAGCTGGTACACCCCGGCAGTGCCAGGATGTCTCCCACTCGTGTTAGTCCTGACGGGGGGACAGGATGTGCTCTATATAGGTGGAAGAGGGTCAGGACGACACTTGCCTAGTGAAACCCACCCTGGCAAACAAGACAATTACCCAAGACGCTGAATGTAACAGTCGAGAAGAGGGTTGGATTGGCGGTTTAATCAGAGAGAGAGAGAAAGAGAGAGAGAGAGAAATTCTACTACAGAGTAGTGACTCTTCCCCCCCTCTTCCCTCCCCTACCACGAATTCCCTCTTCTCTAGCAGCTATCTTCTCTCCCCATGTTCAGTCCCCTACACATTGTCCCTCTCTCGCTATCTACTCCCTGGCAAACAATGGCATGTGCTACCAGATGGAAACTGAGCCTTCTCGCTAACGATTTACGTCGCCCGTTTCTCTCGACACGGTACTCGGCCTTTGGATGCTTGTCGTTACGGGGGTTCCCCCCTCTTTCCTCCCCCCAGCTACAATATCCTCTCGCTCTTCATACCTCTTGTCAGTGGTAGCGAGAAAAGAGCAGTGCTGGTATCAGTGTTACCGTTAGGTACCAGTGATGATCTTTACCACGGTTCTCTGCTCACTCGAGTAACCATACACTGTACTGGATGCTGGAGGGTAGAAAGTCATTATATATATATATATATATATATATATATATAATAGAGAGAGGGAAGAATGATGTAGTTGCATATATATATATATATATAGATATATGACGGATGAAAGAGAGAGATCTACGTATAGTGTACGGTAAAGGGGTTGAAACGTTAGAGAGTAGCTCTTTGGAAGGTCAGGAAGAAATAGCGTGCGAAGGGTTTCCCGAACGGGACTAAGGGGTGAAAGAGCAGGAGGGGATGAACTCCGGGTCGCCGGATACCTGTTGGTTCGCTTCCTCCCTAGAGGGAGAGGAACGCCGGCGCCTTTGCGACTCCCGATAGCGAGCCACGTCGCGGCGCCACCGTCTCTCGGATTCAGCCTCGTCTCTCCCCCCCCCCC